CATTTGGAAACTCCAAGAGACTTCATGAATTTAGTATAGACATTGCTGCTGCCCATCATACATTACATATTTTAATCCCTCTCTCTACTCAGATCTCAAAAATCCTTTCTTTCCATCCAGAACTAATGCCCCTACACCCAAAAGTATTAACTTTTCTAATCAGCCAAGATCCATGTTCAATATGAGACAAAAATCAACTTTTAACTTGTCCCACTTTTGACACCTTATTTGACATTTAAATAATAAATCTTTGAATTAACTATTAATTATTTGAGCATAACTTTTGCTTTAAATTGGTGGATAAATACACATGTATGTTATTATCTGTGTTTATGTTTTATTCGTTTGGGTGCTCACTAGCCTTACTCCATATACATTTTTGCTTATATGCTGTGGAGGGTAAGCACTTACTCTATCCTATTTCTGCCAGTCACATAGAGGAAAACAAGAAAATACTGCAACAACTTTTTGCTTTGTCTCTTTCCAAAAGTAAAGATTTACATAGTGTCTTTTCTTTTTCAGACAAAGATTTGTGTCCCCATCTCCCATAACAAGACTAGCATAAACCAGCACTCTACTAGTGGTACATAAAGAATGCAAGAGGACAAATCTCAGTACTTTGCCTATCTGCCACAGTCCAAATTTCCCGTAATGGCTACTGTACCAACTAACATTAGCACATTGTTTTGAAGTAAACGCTGAAATTCTTTTTAGTTATGACTTAACACCCAAATTTTTGTTTCTTTTAGAACGGAAGATTGTTTTTCCACGGCAAGAGGGAAGAGTGCCTGTGCTCTCTTTGTCATATTGACCCAAGCAATGGTGGTATCCAGTCCAGGTTCCTCTTTAATTGTCACCCACGGTGGATACCTAAGGAATCATTAAAAGAGCAAGGCAGACGCACAACAATAGTCTCCTGTGGATGTGTTATGCAGTACTGGGGCTGCCTGAAGAAGCAGTATATGTTGTTAGACAAAGACATACAGGTGGCAAAATGGGACAGACTTTTGGTTGCACAAACTCTTCTTTGGGTTAGAATCATCTTTCAGTTAAGAAAAATTGTTTACCATTTGCTAAGATACTCCTTAATTAAACCAGCTCTGAAAGGAAGAAGATAGTAGCTTTAGAATAGAGAAGACATTAATGACATTAAGGATGGGAGAAAGACTGGCATTTATGAGCTAAGTAAAAAGGAGAGACAATTACCTTACAATCTGTTGATTTGGAGAGAGGTAAGCAGAAGAGGTGGTGGTGTGTGGAAGTAGAAATAAATTACAATGTACTAGCAGTCCAGCATCTCTGTTGAGTCCCCAGTTTTGGGTGTTGGGCAGAGTTAGGAAACCTAATTCCCATGTGCACTTCTGTCGGACAAGATCTGTAGTTTTCCCTAAGGATCAGGTCTGAAAGAGGAGAGGGAGAATGTCCTGTTTTGTGAGAAACATTCCCTCACCAACAGAGGTGTGTTCGGTCTCTAAAGATGGTTTGTGGGAGTTCCTGCTGGAGCTCAGTGGTCATTTTCAGCAGCAAAACTACAAGGAATACAGCCGTGCACAGGATGAAGTATGTTGCAACCCTGGAACATCCAATGTAAGATCAGAGTATGCTGGTGATTTGATGGCAGGGAAAGTTCATTGCTGTAGTAGTGGATGGGCATCAACACATCTTAGATTTCTTGCTCAGGTACAGTTTAAACTTATCTGGTTTTGGACCACAGAGGATTAGGCTCTAATGATGAGTTTTGTGGTTTGGGGTATTTGAAATGTAGGACAAGTGCTTCTGGGAAGATTCTTTTCCACACAGGATTTTCTTCTGTTATGTGAAAAATCATTAAACAGTTAAAACCAGCAAGTCCTAGGAACTTTTCTGAACTTACCAGCTTCCAGCCCTCCCACAACGCCTCCTCCATTCTCATTTCCACTTTTTCTTACTGAGCTGGTCTTACTGATACATCTGAACTTGCAGCAGTTCTGAAGTTGTATTTAGCTTTTAGATAATTACTGCGTTTAGACAGTTGCTGCTTCAGAACCAAAAATATATCTTGTTATTCCAAAAATGTGTCTGCTTTTCCTTCTATACCAACTGGTCTGAAAAAAAGTCCATTACCTACATGTACAAACCTCTTAATTACCTTTCCTGGATTGCATGATGCATCCCCAGGTCTGAAGAGGACAAGCAGAAAGCCAAGGAGGCTTTCCGAAACTAGTCAGAAATTCATACTCATTTTCTGTGAGAAAGAGCATATATACTTGTTCCTACCTAAAGATCCAGTGTTCAATCGTTTTAGGATGAACAGGGAAACCATACTGCCGTTTAGGGCTGGATATAAATTAGGTTTTGTGCTAGAAAAGAGTTACTAATTTTAATTACTGAATGTAGATCTGAAGAGAAAAATCTGTAGCTTAAAACTATAAATGCAATATTCAAGGAATCGAACTTTTTTCAGCAGAAGATGGAAAAAGATATTTGTGTGTATCATTTTTGAACTACAGTTCTCTGAGAAAAGAGTTTTTGACAGAACTCAATGAACCTTAGTAAACAAGGACATCAGTAATCAACATATTTAAGGATGTGCAATTTCTAAACATGATCCCCCTCCTGCAGTCGTTACACAGCATAGATTTTGCTATTAATTAGTTTGAATGTGGGACAGTACTACAGGGAGAAAGAAAGTGGCCTAAATAGCATGGTCCAAATTTTCTGTGTAGCTATCCAAGAAATACGGATGTCTTCTATTAACCCTTGCCACCTGTGACAGCTAGAAATAACTGCTGGACATGTCTTACTCCTAATGGATTTTTGCAGCTCATTAGTATGTAAGGGGGAAAGGGTGAGAGCATGCTACAGAGAAGGAAGACAGCTGGCCAGAGAAGTTCCATGCCTGGTTCAGCTCTGAATGGCAAAATTAACCTTCTGACAAATACAAGGACATTCATATACACGATGCAGAGGCTTGGTTACTGAATGGAGAACGGGGTAGGGTTCTTCTCCTCTCCAGGAACATAGTTTATTACTCTTATTCAATTACAGAGAGTACAGTAAATCCCCCATTCAGCCTCCATCATTTCTCTAGACTACGCTTTTCAGCAGCGCCAACAGGACCTCCATTCTGTTTGTGCAAAGGGGCTTCGGACATGCAGAAATGGACACTGTTGGTGGGCATGCTATGCCTAATTCACCCCCTCCCCAGAATACAGCAAAATTTTCAGAAGCCTGACGGGAGGTATTGCAAGTCAGGGAGCATTCATCTTGAATTACTCTGGAATAGCTGACCACTAGGCAGAGGGAGGAAGGGGAATGGGAAAGTCCTGCTGGGATTATTTTCGTATCTCAGGCTGCTGCTGTGGACACGATGGAAGGCGCAGATAACCCACTGGCAAAAGCTCGGTAACGAGATACTTAAAGTGTCTCTGAGGGGAGGCGAGTTTTGGCCACTCGCACATCGCGGTCTGTGCCCGCATCCCAAGTGACCGCAATAAACCCGTCTCCCCCATTTCAGCCCTGCAGAGATGCCCACCGCTCCCTGCTCACTGCTCCCCGGAGCAGAGCCCTGACGACAGCCCCTCCCGACCCTGCCCTTCGCTGTGTGCCAAACACAGATCCTCCCGCCGGGATTAGCCCGCCTGACCTCCGGGGAGGTGCCGGGACCCGGCCCCATCGGGGTGCGCCGCTCAACGGCCTCAACAATCGTCACCA